ATTTGTTTGTTTTGTGAGTATTTGTAGCGTTTTTCTTTTTTTGTTTGTTTTGTGACTATTTGCAGTTTGTTTCTTTATTTGTTTGTGTTGTGAGTATTTGCAGCGTGTTTCTTTATTTGTTTGTGTTGTGAGTATTTGCAGCATGTTTCTTTATTTGTTTGTGTTGTGAGTATTTGCAGCGTGTTTCTTTATTTGTTTGTGTTGTGAGTATTTGCAGCGTGTTTCTTTATTTGTTTGTGTTGTGAGCATTTGCAGCGCGTTTCTGTTTTTGAAGCGCGTTTCTTTATTTGGTTGTGTTGTGAGTATTTGCAGCGCGTTTCTGTTTTTGCAACGCGTTTTTTTATTTGGTTGTGTTGTGAGCATTTGCAGCGTGTTTCTGTTTTTGCAGTGTGTTTCTTTATTTGGTTGTGTTGTGAGCATTTGCAGCGCATGTGTTGAAGATGTTTTCTTAATTTGCATGTGTTTTTTTTCATTTGCAGCGCGTTGAGCTCTCTCGGTCACCGTACAGAACTGTCAAATGCAAACTGTACACAGAAATGGCTAGTGTTGTCAAAATCGTAAGCTCCAAGCTTCATCACTGGATCTTCATGCACTTTCGATAAAATGGGGTACATGGATCATATCATATTAAAACTGTAGTAGCACTAGTAATAATAACAATAATAATAGTTGGTTTTGTTATGATCAGGGTTATTATTAGTTTAGTTATTAACTAAAACTAAAAATGCAACTAAAATAAAAATAAAAAAAGCTGTCAATCGATTAAAATATTTAATCGTGATTAATCGCATGTTTGTTATGAGTTAACTCGTGATTAATCGCAACTTAATCGCACATTCTTATCTGTTCTAAATGTACCTTAAGTTAATACTTTTCAAGTTTGTAATACTCTGCTCAACATGGGCATGGACAAATATGGATGCTTTATGCAGATGTACGTATGTTTATTATTAGCATAGTCAACATAGAGCATGAAGACTACACATGTTTCAAAGGTCATAGACGTTTTTCAAAGAACTTGTTCATGTCTATTAGACATGAAAAAAGAACAAAGAAAAACCAGGTTCCCATTACTTCTCTTTTTTTGAACTGAACAATTTACTTACACAAGACATGTATACATTTTTGCAGTACAGGGCAGCTCACTTCTTCTGAACATGCAAAATTTACATTTATTACTTATTATTACATTTGTTTGCCTCTCTGTGCCCACATACTGTATTTTGATGCAGCTAAATTCTCAATAAAACTGTTTTCATTGTTATATTTTACTGTTTCTGTTGTCAGACAACGGAATGAATATGAAACAGTGACTGAACCGCGACCCGAACGAACGAACAAACAAACAAAAAACAAATAAATAAAAATATCCTTCTGTTTGAAGAATTACTAGGAAACAGTAAACAAGATATTGTTTAACACCTATATTTAATTTAGTTCTCAGAATTACATCCGATTTTATATGTACACTGTTGTTTGGTCACTATGGATGTGGGTCAAAAGGCTTGATATATAGTAATTCTTGGTCCAGATAAGATCTAAAGTGAACCAGGCATTATGCTGACTGCACCAGTTATGTGAAACTAACCAACAGGTGAATCCTGTCAAAATATGCTTAGCACTTTAGTCTCATAATACAAAGCTTTGTTTATATATAGATACTAAACAGACGTTCTTATCTTCTAGTTTGACAGCAGACTAGATGCAGGTTATATGTAACTGACAGGCTGCTATGATACCGTCTGGGCCTCATCAGTTAGAATCACTCCCAGTCATTAATCTCTGCTCTCAAACAGCACAGACAATGGCAGGAAGCAACTCATTGATCACAGTATGGTGATATAAGGTCCATCAAACGCTGAATCTCATTCATCACCTGATCTGAACTCTGTTAAAGCCCTAAAAGTGGTGTCAAAAATGGTGTCACATTCATATAAATCACTTGGATTAGAGTTTCTGCTAAAAAATGTATGGTTCTTATTATCAAATGACACAGTGAAGGAGACCAGAAATGTAATGAACTCCATTTTCTAACACTTTGCCAATATCCCACAGTTACCGAAAATGTCACACATTCATTTAAATCTTGTCAGAGCTTCTTACTTTCTTAAATGAGCTTTCCTCTCAACCCGTCAGCACTTGGCTGTTTCATAGCCTGTCAGAGACCTAAAATGTGTGGAAATCCATTAACTCTGCTGCTTAAAGACACAGAACTGCTAGTATTGTGAATGTACACATTTAAAATATTGCAGGAAGTGTCCACAAACACTTGCTGTAATCAGCAATGATGTAAATGCATTGGTGAACTCTATTTGTTTGATTCATGACATGAAGTCTTACCTGTCTTCCCCTTGCATCTCTTTGACCCCTTTCTGAACGACCTCTTGAGCAGGTGTCATCTCTGGTGGGCGTCCAACATTTCGAGAGTAGAGGTCGACATTCCGAGAGTAAAGCCCTCCATCTGTGTGGTACCTTATGATTAAACAACAAATTAACAGTGAACTATTATCTGGGAGCATTTGTCATAGGATTATATAAGTGAGGTTACATATACATACAGGTTATATATATATATATATATATATACTGTATATACTATATATATATATTTTTTTTTTATTATTATTATTTTTTTAAATAAACAGTTCACCCAGAAAATAAATATTTTTTCATCATTTACTCAAATTAGTTTTGAGTTTTGCCAATGTTTGTCAGTGTTGGCAAATGCTATTGGTTCTTACATGTGTTGTAAGTTCATGCAGAAGTACACATTATATTTGAGAGCTATGACAATTCAGTCTGTTTCTCGCACAAATTTGTTGTTTAATAAAAAAAAACTTTGAATGCAGTGCATGAGATTTCCACAGAAACATTAATATAATTTCAGTTTTGAACGGCAAGAGGGTGAGATTGAATTTTGGGTAAATTCCTTTCTTAATGTAATAATTAATTTAAAAAATATTCAAAAACAACAACAAATTACTTTCTTTTGTGTCCATGTTGTTATTGTAATAAAAGTAAAACTATTCAAATACATTTTTTGTTAACTGAAAAAAAAGCTGAAATATCAATATAACATAAAAACGGACAAAATAGGGTTTAGTACTAAAATTACTCAAAATAAAACTGAAATAAAAATAAAGCTAAAAAGAAATATTAAAAGAAACAAAATCTAAATTACAATTTTTTTTAATTAGAATTAAAATAAAAACCTGAAAATATAAAAATAAAAGCTAATTCAAAATATTAAAATGATACTAAAACAACACTGCTTTGTGCGTATATATGAGCATAATTTTTAACTTACAGTGTGATAATACTCTTAGGTGTGAGTCGGGGAGTTATAAACACGTCACAGATGAGAGAGCACCAAAAACATTAATGTTCTGATAATTAGCATCATACCTCAGCTAATCACAGTTTTAGGCAGATGTACTGCCTGCAGCTTTGACTGCAGGAGCTTTATTGTATTATTAGCATTCCCAAATCCATCACTTTCCTGCAAGTTTCTTCAGGATCACGTATCAAATATCAATACTTCAGAAGAGTCATTCTTTTATAGACTTCATTTCTAGTGCTATTTTTCTTTCTCTGCCAATTCATCAGTGTAGAGCCGGCAAGTGCAGAAGCAATAGTGCATCAAACACTGATGTATACGTGACCCTGAGCTATTCCTCCAAACAGAGACACATGATGGCGTATGAGTGTTTCTCACCCACATAACAGCTGTAACTGCTTCTCTGCTCTGATGGAATGCGTGTAAATGTTATTAATCAATCATAATTTTTTCAAACAGCCTTCCCTATGTGAACATTGCATACGCCAACAGAAAAAAGTGATTGACTGTTCGATTGGCCTGCTTAGACTATCTCGTACTTCTGTTTAGTTTACATATGTAAAAAAGGTGCTGTTTCTTCATGGTTTGCCATCCAACATGGTTTGTAATTTCATAGTTTCTTACCCACTGATATCATCTGCGTGTACATTCTTGGCGAGTATGTCACCATCGCTACCGTATCCGGTCACGTCCACCTCTGGCCCCGCCTCCGAAATCCCAACTTTTTCTCCCGGCTCTGACCCTCGAACCCCTGAGGCGGCCGCTCTCCTCAGGGGGGCAGTGTATAACAACCTTGAGGGGTCACCATAGCGACCAGTGGTGCCGGCACTGGATCTGGGCGAAGCATAGCTAGGAGCATCACCGGCCTGAAGACGGGGGCTCGACGCTTGGCCGAGACGCCAAGACATTTGGGAGGAGCGGCTTGAGAGGGCAGGGAGGCCACGACCGTTCACTTCTGTAGTTACAGTGGTGTCGAATGTCGTCTCAAGTGTACTACAAAGAAAAACAAAATAGAGGAAGAGGAAATTAGAGGAGAGAATTTGGGGACTGCAGGCAGAATTAGGTAATTAGATCAATATTCTGCTTCTGTTTATTAAAGTAATAAATATCCAACACCTGTGCCAAGGTGAGGAGTTTGCTTGACAGTTTGAGGACCATTCTGTACCCTGCAATGCAGCACTGTTTCTAAAGTAAAGTTTAGAGTTTAAAATATCCACCTACTGGCTTGAATATTTGTGCTGACTCAGACTTATATGTTGAATACACAAATATGATTGACAATTGAGCTGATTTGCTACAAAACAACTGTGCCCATAAGCAAAGAATTACATTACTGTTCAAAAGTTTGGGGTCGGTAGGATTTTTGAAATGTTTTTGAAAGAAAGTTGCATTTATTTGAGCAAAAACAAAACAAAACAAAACAAAAAACTTTTTTTCTATTTGAATATATTTTAAAATGTAATTCATTCATGTGGTGGCAAAGTTGAATTTTCAACAGCCATTACTCCAATCTTCAGTGTCACATGATGCTTCAGAAATCATTCAAATGTACTGATATCAAATCAAAATAACATTTCTTACTATTATCACTTTTGAAAACAGTTGTGCTGCCTACTATTTTTGTGGAAACTTTGTTTTTTGTTCAGGATTCTATGATGAAAAGAAAGTTCAAAAGAACAGTATTATTTGAAATTGATGTCATTCTATAAAAAGAATGACATCTATTCATATAGATGTCATAACTATAAAAACGTATATGTATAAAGACATATATAAACGTTATATGTATTTAGTAAATTTTGATCAATTTAATGCATCCTTGCTAAGTAAAAGTTTTTTTTTTCCACTTGTAAATTGTAGTACATTGAAGAGCGAATGCAACTGACATAACTAGGAATGCTAATCGATACTAGGGCTGTGCGATTAATCGAAATCGTCAAAAAAAATCGCGATTTGAGCCTGCGCGATTTCTAAATCGCTTTATAGCATGCTTTTCCGCGCCCTGACCTCCCGCAGTAGGCTATGCTATCCGAACCAATCAGAATGCAGCACGCCTAAATGGAGCATGAGAACAGAACAGACCGGGCGGGCATACAAACGTAATGCCAGGTTCACACACTCCGTCTGTGGTGCGTAGTTTTTCCGCGCCCATGTTAACGGATCAGAGCGTTCACACTGCACGCGATTGTGGTCCGGCAGTGCGCTCCAGGAGCGGTGCATCTGCAGCAGTCATGCTGAGATCGTTTCCTCACGGAATCTATTTCTGCTGTGCTATACGCGCTGAATTAAAGTGACAGCGCATTATTCGTGGTAAAAATTAACATGGATTGACATGGAAATTTAGTAATTACACCATAAATGCATATAATTAAAGTCTACTGTTTCATAGTCAACACATGGCTTTTTGGCTAGATTTAAAACAAGGAACAGTTCACTTTTAGATAAACAAGGCAATAATAGATGGCACTCGTGGTGGTAGTTAAACAAAGTTATATTTATTGAGTTTCAACGTGAATATGTCTATGAAAGATTGTATTACTGTACTGTGATAAAAGAGAATCACAATGCTGAAAAAGCATTTTCAGAAAGAACGTTTGGATTTGAAATCAAAATAATGGATAAATGTTGTGTTTGTGGTAAACAGCCGTGGATCAGGAGCGGACTGCAAACGCGTCCTGTGCGAAAGCAAAATGAGTCCGTGCTGCTTCTGCACCGCATACACATACTGTATATGCACTGCAGACGGAGTACGTGTGAACTTGGCGCAACAAATCTAGTTCAACATCTGAGGCAACGCCACAAAGAGCTCTATGACCAATGCATGGCAAAAAAAAAAATTCTAGAGACATTTTGTTACACCTTTACTTAGTGATTATTTTGCCCTATGTCTGTTGTAGAGACATGTTACAGCTTTTTGATAAAGTTCTAATTGGTTTTCTTTTGGAAATATGTTTCAAATTCACACTGAATGCATTAATGACTGTAAAGCATGTCTGTGTGTGTCAAAATCGAAAACGCGAAATTGATCAAAGAAATCGCGATAGTTTTTTTTTCCATATCGCACAGCCCTAATCAATACACAGTTATATTGTAATGTTTTTAAACTGTATAACCTACTTTTTATTAAACATATCACTAGATAATGTTACACATATCACTGGTATGAGACACCCCTGAGAAATGTAAAGCAGCTATTTAAATGAGATATTTTATATTTGTTAACACATGAACTTAATCCAAACATAAAATAAAATAATTAAAAAAAAGAAAAAGAAAAAAGATAAACTACAAATAAACTAAAAAACACCCATATTCAGAACTATAATAACTAGGTTTTTTCACTGACGCATACAGTAGTGTCTTTATAAGATCCTGCCCACAACAGATCCTTGATATGTCTATATTAGACCAAGTTTCTCTCCACAGCAGGTCTTCTATCTGTAGGTTGTGAATGTTCAGCGTGGTGTGAAGGACCCAACTGAAGCAGAAAGATTGCCAATGTGCCTGTGTTTGATTGCTGCTCTCCATAAAATGGAAGCTATACTCATCGTGTCATATCTAATCCACTTCAACTAGCGGCAGCCCATCAAAAAACATGTTAGCGCGGGAACAACTTCAGTTTGACCTCCTGACCTTTGTTAAGTGCTCCATCCATGTTTTTGACTGCGTGACTATAAATGTGTGAACTGATGTGTGCATAGGTGTCTCCACACATCACAAGCTTGTTGATGCGGGAGCGTGTGAGAAAACAGCATACGGACAGATGCTTAAAGGGGTCCTATTATGCTCTTTTACAAAGTCTTGATTTTGTTTTGGGGGTGTACTAGAACATGCTCTCATGCTTGGTGGTTCGAAAAACGCATTATTTTTCACATAATTTACATTATTAAAATACCTTTCTCCCCAGCCTGGCACAAACGGCTCGATTAGTTCCGGCTTTGATGAAGGTCCGCCTTCCGAAAAACAAAATGTGTTGTGATTGGTTAGCTGTCCCAGTGCGTTGTGATTGGCGAACAGCTTAGACGGTGTTACAGTACTGCCACGCCCCTTGCTCTGTCTTTCAACAAAAGCTTTTTGGCGAATCCGGCAGGCACTGTACTCCCTCATGTTGTGGAAGCTGTCCTCAGTAAAATGCGCAGCACACAATAGCAAATTGGGGTTATAATGCTCAGGAACAGAGTTAAAAAATAAATTGCAACCACTGTTTGCTGACATCATCCGCTTTTATGAAGCCCAAACAAAGACGTTTGGGCACGGAGGTGAAAAAAAAACAGCGTTTCAGGCGGCCGTGCACCGGACGAGAAGCGCAGCGTCGCGTTGTGCCACATCTTTAAAATTCAAATACATTATTTTCTATGAGTGCAGGTATGAAGCCCAAACAAAGACGTTTGGGCACGGAGGTGAAAAAAAAACAGCGTTTCAGGCGGCCGTGCACCGGACGAGAAGCGCAGCGTCGCGTTGTGCCACATCTTTAAAATTCAAATACATTATTTTCTATGAGTGCAGGCACACCGTTCGGCGTCTGTCCGCGGCGCCCAGCTACGTCGTGTTGTACTTGTAAGAATTGTTCTAGACATGCCAAAAATTTGAAGCTACAGCACAGCAGCTCTTCTTCTTGGTTTTCTCTGATGCACTAACTCTGCAGCAGCACTTCTTCTTCGTCGTCTCGTCTGATGCGCTCACTCAACCAAGCGTTCTAACCACAACCTCGCCCCTCCCCACCCCCCAACCATTCGAATTTCTGTAGGCGGGAATCATTTTTAATGATATTCTAATGGGCCGCTTTGTGATATCACAAAGCCCGGAAACCAACGCTGTAGTCCAAACGAGCCATTGGTTGTAGTTCTTGAAAAGGGGTTTTAAAAAAAAACAAAATATCTCCCTTTGGAGTGGACTTTGAGATTTGTAACTTTCTAGATCTTTTTTATGCCCAAACATACACACTAGTACACACTGACTAAAATTAAAAAAGTGAAAAAGCATAATAGGACCCCTTTAATATTGACACACCCAATATGACTGTCCAGCAACAGCTCTCTCTAGTGGTGAGATAATCACATTACAAGGATATTTTTAATGTGTGGGCTTCATTTTGAGGCACGATTCAATAAATATTCAGCATTAAATATAAATACAAATTCATGAATATGAAATAGTCTGTTTAAAAAAATATCTAAAAGCATAAAAAAATCCCCAATAATATGACAGGCAGTTATTTGCATGACAGGACAACAGCAGGTGGTCAAAAATGAGTGTCACTTAACAAAGTTATCAGCAAAAAGGCGATGTTGTCATGACTACAGCACTGGCATATTAATATCCTCACCATCAAAGTCCATTCAGAATGAATCTCATTAGTGGTTTGCTAGCATGTAAGCTGGTTAACAAGGTCCTACGAAAGAAATACATTTTCAAATACTGTGAAAAAATGAGCTACCAAACATACATGTATTGAATTGCACTGAACAATCCAAGGGTCTCATTTACAGAAACCGCTTTCATGCCTATTGTTATTCTGCTGCGTTTGGTATATTTGAAAGGGTGGTCACCAGTGCTAAGTTTGGCTATCAAAGCATGTTCTGTTCGTGTATGAATGCTCTTGTTATGAAATACACCAGAGACTTGTGACTCAGCAGCCATAGAGGTTGGATAACAAGCCAGTGATGGTCGTACACATGGCTGACCAGTGTTTTTGTGTAGATAGGACACAAACACAAATATTTGAGCAGTAATATTGAATTTTGGAGTCTGAACACAACACAGTTGATTTATGCAATTGGAGTTGTTTATAAAATGGTGCCAATATGTAGACAAGACAAATAAGAATGAATATACGATTAAACGAGAAAAGAAGAAGGGGACTTTGGGTGCACTGTAAAAAATTATTTTTCATGATTTGTAAATAAAAATTACTGTAGTATCTTTTAAGAAAATACTATTTCAGTGTTTCAACAGTACTTCAAAATGTCACTATTAATTCAACGTGTTACTTGCCGTTTCTTTGTTATTATTTGTGAAATTTACTTACAATTTCTGAGTGAAAATTGTTTCAAAACACCAATTTTTTTTTCAGTGAAGTACAGACAGAAATAGATTTGATGGAATCACGCAAGAGGCCAAGGTTGAATATAGTTCGTACAGTAACACAGTAACACATCTTTAACATTAAGTTATGCATTAGATATCATGAACTAACAATTACATTTTTTTTACAGCAGTATTCTGGGCCATTATTTATTCATAAATATACTATTGTTTGTTGTACAGTAAATTCATGTTCATTCATAATACATTAAATAATGTTAATTTACACCAGTGTTGTTATTGTTAACTTAAATGAAAACTTGGTAATTAATAAAATAAAATAAAAAATGATTATAGGAAAAACATAAACTTAAAAATAAAAAAAATAAAACATAAATTCCAAAAGTTGCCCTGGCAATTAACTGAAAGCGTATATGTAAGTACTAAAATAACTAAAACAAACAACAAAAAGCTAAATAGACATGTTTAAAAAATAATACAAATCATCAAAGCATATGTAATCACTAAAACTAAAATTACAACTGAAAATATTAAAAAGCTATTTCTAAATATTAATAAATGCTATCACAGTACATAAATAATACTAAAAATAACACCGATTTATAGAATTTGAAATATTTTAAAATAAATTAATAAATATGATCAAAGTACTGTTCTTTGTTAGTTCATCGCACCTAACTAATGTTAATTAAATTGTATTGTAAAGTGTTATCACACTCAAGAAGCAAAACCTAAGAATATAGAAATACCAACATCATTGATTGGTGCGTATTAACAGGACTTCAAACTGTGTGAATTTTATTTAGAAGCATAAATTAGGTCAGGTTTAAAGTCACTGTATTCATTGCCCTCTGGTCACCCAGCATTTCCTAAAAGTGTAATGTGAGCATCCCTGCAGTACGCTATTGCATACTGCTCCCAATAGTGTTAAACAAAGAACCCAGACCGACTAGGAAACAATGACTTCCCTTTTCGTCTACAAATCAAAGTCAACAGGAAGTGTATGAGCTGAGGTTTATGGCTTGCTAAGAAGATAAATCATGTATCTAGAGTTAGTTAATGTCACTGGATGCAGGACATTTGGGCAAGTTTCTCTGACTAATCTATTGATCACCCGAATCACCCTCTGGCCCAGTCACCAGCGTTTATCTCCCTCTCTGATATGACTCCTCATGACAGCTGACAGTTCCATTATATATATTCCTGATGTCTCGTCTTCTCGACAACACCCGTCTCTTAGCAACATGCTAGTGCTATTGGGAAAGGGTAAGACTGCAGCGTTTTTCTGAATCTGCTATCCTCCTCTGCTATCCCTTGAACGGACACACAACAAGGAACACAACAGAACACTTACAGAAGCCACTGGTGGGAAAAGAGCTACAGCTTATTTCATCATCCTATTAGAAAAAATGTTCTACAGGAAGATAGGGAGGTGCTGATCAGGTACATATGTAATCAATTACAGCTTATGATGGTTTGGAATCTTCTACAGAATCTTTGAGATACACATGTACAGTACATACTGTATAATGAGACAAGAAACAAGCTCTAGATTGATTAATCTGCCAACATTTTAAGATTATAAATATCATACATGCTTGCCAATTAAGACAAGTGGTTCCAATTTTTTGTTTTGGTCAAATACATATTTTTGTGAATTTTGATTAAACACTGTAAAATAAGTGTTTAGTTAATCTTAGCAATTTCATACACATCTTATTTGTCATCACTGAACTGCATTATGTATACAATGGATCTTTTTCTTTTAAATCTGGAAATAAATAAAAATATAATTTTTAAAGTTATGGGGTACAATAAAGAAGTATTTTTAGTAGACTGTTGAAGATAATATATATTTTGCAATACAAATGCATTATAACAAAATTTTAAACAATTAGTAACTAATATTTAATTTGATAATTAAAAAATACAATTATTTAACTTAAGCTGCCTATATAGTAACTACTTACAATGAGTCAACATTTGATAAATCCCCTTGAGATTCTTGACTTTAAGTCTAAAGGGATTTTCTTAGAGATGCTGCCTTGACCTTGAAGACATTTTTTTTTCTATAACAATCAATACAATATTTAAGCTCTGAGAACCTTCAAAATATGAAAACAGGCTCAGATCAATAGAGCTTTGTGGTGTTCCCAACATAGCAGTGAATAGGTGTGGGCAGAATATTCTGAAAGGACACTTACACTCTATACTCTTTCAGAAAATATACCATATGGTATGTTTGGAGATGAATGGAAGTCAACTTTAAAAGCTCCTGCGAGACTCCAACGTATGTATGATGGTATTCACATAGTGGTCTCAGGAAACCACAGGTCAACTTCCTGACAACCAAACAGTGTCACAAAGGTGAGAAATGGAGCTCTACCGTACAATTAAAAGAGTCCTGGCTGGATCGCTATCTTCTTTCCATCTGTGCAACCCTGTCATATGTTATAAAACACATTCTACTGAATTAGTCTGTTTAGTTTGTCACAGTGAAGAATAGTTTTTCCTTATCATTCATTGTGAGCAGAGCCTGACAGCTATGTGTCAACAATATATATCTGACCATTATGAACTCCAAGGGTTGGAGTTTTTTTTAATCATGGGCTCTTTACTGGTTAGCTTTATGGCGAGAGAGTGTGAGGAAGTGTCTAACACCTTTTTGGCTCCTTTGAGATGCAATGTGCTATGAAAAAAACAAAAAGGCCAAGCATTGATTTCCAAAGAAGATGCTCCCCGTGTGGGAAAGAGAGAGAAAGAGGGCCAACACCATCTGTCATGTCAGAGCGCTGCCTCTGAACCACTTTCCTGTGAAATTATGTTCACATTGTGAGTGAAATAAAGAGAGAAGTGCTGAAATAGGCCATTCCAGAGCCGGACAAATGTGGTTACGCTTATGTATTTTCTGCAGTAATTGGGTGTTTGGGAATTTGGGTTGATTAACTCAACAAAAATGAGGCCATTTTTCATTTCACAATGAGATTGGTGAGAGTCTTTGTTAGCAAAGATGTTGGCACAGTGAGGGCTTGCATTGTTTGTGAGTGCCAAACTGAGCTCTGTCTTTAAAAAAAATGTAATTGGCAAAAGAGACCTAATTTTTCGAAAGTGCAGCTGTCACTGTTTTAGAGCTAATTAACTTTCTTTTCATGATGTCTTACTCAACTACTATATATATCTTTGTGGATAAGGCAATCATGCTTGTTTACCAGCTTCTCTACTTATAGTCTATCAGATAAACTAGAACTAAACCAGCATTAACTTGCCTGGAAATTTGTCTTTGCTGTTTTTTCCCCCCTCTGTGCATTCCAATGACCCAACACTCACCTGTGGCTAATCTGTGTCCCACGCAAACTAGACATGGTTTCTTCAAGATTCTGTCTCAGGTCGGCAATGTTCTTCACCGTACGCATCCGTCTAGTTTCTGGATCCTCTCCTGGTGGACAGAGAGAAGAAAACATTGGTTACTGACCCTGTTAAAGGCGCCAAGTCACTTGTAGTAAATAGTCTGTAAGGCAGAATAGACTCGGCATATGAACCAGTTAAACATGTTGCGGCCAGCAGTTAGTGAGCGGAGGGTGTCTGCTCTTGCATGTCAACTCAGTTGCTGAAGTTACAGCTGATGGGATAAAGGGACAGATTTCACAGTCATCATTTTTCTGCGAAGCACAGAGTAATCCATGCGCTATGACACCACTTCTTAACCCCTAAGCCTGGCTCAAAGTTTGGCTGGAGCACGATTTGCTTATAAAGCAGAAATAGGTCATATTTAAATAGTCATTTTACTGCACTTATTTTCATATGTTCCTTTTTTTCTGAACAAAAGCAGAGAAAACTCTGAATGAACTCATAATGGTGGGGATATTGATTCATCAATATATTTTTTTTGGGATCTGTTCCTCCATAAAGATTCATTTAGATTAATTCGGTGAACCTTTTCTGCAGGTTAAAGCATTATTGTTAGTGACTAATGAGTGCCTTTTTGTGTGAGTCATTGAGTCATTCACTCAACTGATTCATTTAAAAATCTACTTTGAGATGCAGAGTAGACTCCAGAAATGCTGTTTCCCCACAAATGACAACAAAGTATATCTGTCTTTTTTCTCCATTCTCAATTATATAATAAATATAATAAATTAATTAATTAATATAAATTGCAAAAACATTTACAAAGCCAGAAAAAATACATCAAATGCAATAATGTGCTTTACAAAGCAAGAAACTTGATTTGAATATGATTTGTTCACTTAAAAGAGTTGTTCATGAAAACAACACTAGAACACAGGCTCTGGATCTGCAGAGGTTCAGTTAAGTGCTTTCTTCCCACTGCATTAAACTCACTGAACAAAGGCACTCACAGAAACACTCATACAGACTGATGATGGCAGTAGGAGGTCTAACAGCAGGCTTGCAGGGTTCTTACATCCCATCAGAGAACTACTTATTTGATCCAATCACATCTGGCCTTACAGACTCCCCCTGACTATAAAATGCCATGCCAATGGCATGAGCTATGATGTAAAACACTAATCAATTAATAGAATAGAAAAATAAACTGTCATGTAGTATATTAGTGCACTGATCTTAAGTGTGTTGCTTGCGTGTTGCAGTGAAACTGTCCTATGTGCCCATTTAAAATGAGCATTACATCAAAACTGATCATATTTACTTTCACAATACACATAAATTTTTACAAATCGTTTTAAATGTGACCTTTAAACATTTTAATGACAGATAGAAGTCTTTAGCAAAAGCACAAAAAAAAGAGAGAAATATAAAAGGTGATTCCTTTTATAAATGGGTTTTGAGGCTGTTATATATTATTATCAGACACAATTTGCACTGGATGCATTATTATATTCAAAAACAGTTTTAGATGGCTAAACTGCAATCTAAAGAAGTAAAGTTCATGGTATAAAACAGTATAAGATGTCTGTTTTCATATGTATATAGAGCATTTTGTACAAAATTATATTCCTCACAGCAGATGATTTAATTTGATACAAAACAGACTGCAGCAGCGAGTAACGTAAATGACTTTAGTGACATAAGATCTCCTAAATGACTTTTCAGCTACCATGCCAAAATCCTCTTTGAAAGGTCACATCTCAAAATCACACTGCATCAAATATTAAAGCTAAAACGACAACCTAACAGAAAAAAAACACTCAAACTACAAACAATTTAACTATTTGACCGTCCTGATACCTACAGCATAGAAAAGCATGACCCTGGAGCACAAACAAACATATATTGAGTCACTGTGAATGTATCAGGGCCTCTGTTACCCAGAAGGCTTTGCTTTATAGGTTTGTAATGGACCATTCAGCCAAACGGTATAAGGCAAGTAATTTCTCTCCCCTACATCTCACATATAGAGCTACAGAGCTATTTAAAAGTCACATACACACATAGCAGGTGCATGGCTATTCTCGCTGCATGTGAATGCTGGATACAAACAAACGATACAAGCTTCTGACTCAGATATTTGAAAATCAAGAGGGCTCTGGGTGGCATAATGTGCACTTGTTGCCCTCTGGGTGAGCAGATACATTTCTGCAAGCACCACTTGAGCCTGTCAGCAGCAAAGGAGGCCATGAGGACACACCGCTGGCTCTGTCTGATCAGATGGTAGCTGAGAGTTTGCACTGATTTAACCTCATTGTGGCAGTGTGAAAACTAACCTCAGAGTCTACAGCTTCAAACCAGAATCTGTGTCGAATGCATTGTGAGGTTTGTGTTTTGCATAATTCAGAGCTGTGTTGTACTGTATCACTCATTTCAAATGGAGATCAAATGTGACACAGCAGGTTTGTGCGCCCTCATAGCAAAGAGCTTAGTCATTTACATAAAGTGTTAAAGGTACAGTAGCAAAAACCTGCTTAAATCTAAGGGTCAGAGAGAGGGTGGAATATGGTTATGCAAAAGTAAATAATAACTTATTTTGGTCCAAGAAACCTAGACTTTTATTAAAAGTTGAGAGAAAAAAAATGCTGTACAAAATTGACCGATATCATGTTAGGACACACTGGTTGGTTGATAGGGTGTTGCTTTGCAGTTCTTAATATGTTATGAGTGGGTGTTAAGGTGTTGCTAAGTGGTAGTTAAGGTGTTCTGAGTGGCTGCTTACTGGTTATTTGCTAGTCATATTCTGGTCACTATGATGGGTTTTTACTTCAATGTTTTGTATATTTTTTGTCGCTATTTTTGACATTATCGTTTTTTTATCATCATTTTGTCGCCTGTAAGGCTAAAATCATTAGTCAGGTTATGTAATAGCATATCCTAAAAAAGCTGCATGATTCATCTCCATAGCGAAACCTGTGCAGAACGAGTAACTTTCCGGAGTTACTTAAAGGGTTACTCCACCCCAAAATGAAAATGTTGTCATTAATCACTTACCCCCATGTCGTTCCAAACCCATAAAAGCTTTGTTCATCTTCGGAACACAATTTAAGATATTTTGGATGAAAACCGGGAGGCTTGTGACTGTCCCATTGACTTCCAAGTAAATTACACTGTCAAGATCCAGAAAAGTATGAATGACATCGTCAAAATAGTCCATCTGCCATCAGTGGTTCAATCTGAATTTTATGAAGCGACGAGAATACTTTTTGTATGCAAAGAAAACGTCTCGGGTTACTTATGTAACCATGGTTCCCTGAGTAGGGAACGAGACACTGCGTCCTCTAGGGGTCGCTATGGGGAACGCCTCGTCGTGACTCGTATCTGAAGCATACATTGAAAAAACACCAACTCGTTGGCCGGCGACAGCCATGACGTCACTACCGGTGCGACTACAGTATAAATCGGTGCCGGGAGCTACACATC